GTATAGGTTTGCCTCTCCTGTCCTCAGGCCTCAGCCAGCATTACCATCTGAGGGCATGCAGAGTGTTTGATCCACCAAACCAATGGAATCCTGGGTAATATTTTTATTGGACCTAGGAACCCATTTCACTACAGAGTAGCGGCAGCAGTGGCCCATGACCCTGGGGTCCACTCTTCTATTTCACATCACGCTACACAGAAGCTGTCAGCTTGAGAGCGATGAAATGGCCTTTTGAAGGTGCAACTGAGCTACCACTCTGAAGGTGATACCTTTCAAAGATGGATACCTATCAAAGATCTTCCGAGATGTTCATGCAAATCAACAATTACTGTATGGGCCTGTGTTCTCAATAGGCATCATACATGGTTCTGAAATTTAAGGGAAGGAAGTAGGAGTGGCTTTGAGCCCTGCTTACATCACTCACAGTGACCCACTTGGGGTATTTACGCTTCTTGTCCCAGCAACTCTAAACTCTGTGGGTTTAGAGGTCCTGGTGATTGACTAAGAAATGCTTTGCCAATTGTGATGGTACAGGGAGCTGAGAGTGAGGGAAACAAAAATGGGTTATAGAGTAGAGAGATAAGTATCAGTTGCAACCTTCAGACCAGGAGCAGTACCAGGGGTACTGACAGCTGTAGTTTGTCCTACTAACCTTCCTCTTCCCCAGCAAAAGAGATCACCTGGGGTACTGGAGGAGTTCTCAGATCTTATTATACAAAGTGAGTGGATCCAGTGCAAAGGGTTTGCTGTAATGGATGCTATAGGGTGCCACTCAGATCCTTCTTTCTGGATCAAGGCAATCATTCCCTCAGCTGCTAGAAATAGCAGCCGATGGCTCTCAGATGAGTGTCTCTTCTGATACTGTCCTCAACCAGAGAGTCACCTTGCCCATATCCAATTGATGTGGTTTTGGAATACAGGTGAGGTTCGGTGGGGTGAGGTCTGGAGCTGATGACCAAGAAAGAACTCTTGAGATATCCTTGGTGCAAAAAGGTGGTTTTACTAAAGCACGGGGACAGAACCCGTCGGCAGAAAGAGCTGCTGCCCTGGGGCTGTGAGGGATGACTGATTATATACTTGGGAGTTAAGGGAGGTAAGGAAAAGGGAGGTTTCAAAAGAACTTTCTTTTTTTTATTTATTTTTTAAAGATTCTATTTATTTGACAGAGACACAGCCAGAGAGGGAACACAAGCAGGGGAAGTGGGAGAGGGAGAAGCAGGCCTCCCGCTGAGCAGGGAGCCCAATATGGGGCTCAGGATTGTTTCCCAGGACTCCGGGATCATGACCTGTCAGGACTGTTTCCCAGGACTCTGGGATCAGGACCTGAGCCAAAGGCAGCCGCTCAATGACTGAGCCACCCAGGGGCCTCTCAAAAGACCTTTCATATGCTAAAGAGATCTACAAGATATCAGAGGCCTTGCCATTATCAAGTTAGGTTGTTTTCCCCTCTAGTAAGGTATTAACTTTAAGATAGTTGGGAGACTTTTGGAAGAATGTCACACCTGTCCCACCCAGGAGTGGGGGGTAGGGGAAGGTTGCAGTGTGTCAGCTTATGCTTTGTCTTCAGCTAGCCTTCTGCTCCCTCATCATAATGACTGGTTCATGCCCAGGTATGAAGATTCAGCCCACTTTGCTCCAAGGCAGGACAGAGTTCCCTACAGGACTGGCTGAAAGGCCTCTGTCGTGACTACACTGCCGTTCAATCCCTCCTATCCAGTCTTATTTCCTTCACTCCTCTACTGGTGTCGAATACCTGGGTGCTCCCCGGTAACTTCCTGCATGCAAATCTCCATCTCAGAGTCGGTTTCTGGGCAACTCAGTATGCAACAGTTATATCAGTTTGTTTGTTTGTTTAAACAGAAAAATACCATCTAACACACAGGCTTTGTGTGGCTATCATATATATAGAAATTAAGAAACCCTGGATGATCTACATCTGGAAAGCTCATTGACCTCACCAGCAACACTGACACTGTTGCTTCTCCTTTTGGAGACTTTGTTTTCCTGGGACCCTGTTGCAGGTGCTGAATACTAGAAGCAGCCAGGAAGCCTTCCAGTTCGGCCTCTGTCTCATGCTCATTTCTCTTCTTCTTCAGCTCTCTGGTTGTGCCAGGCCATCATTCCAGGAAGTTTTTCTATCCTACCTTTCCAGAAAGCTACTGGCAACACTAGCTGTCACTTGTCTCCCTCCACCCACAGTCCAGTAAGTTCCAGATGCGGAAGGAGTTGTGGGAATCCCTCAGTGTCACCAGGAGGAGGGGAACTTAAATTCCTCTGGTTACTAATCACCATCTTCTGTTTCTTTCATTTGTCCTCATTGACTTTCTCTCATGATTGACAGAGTTAAGCCACTTCTTACTCCACTGCATCTTCAAGTTCCTATGCCCTCTGGGATTTCAACAGCCTTTTATAGTAAATCTCTGTATTGCACTTTCAAATTTTATTATTATTAACTTTAAAATTTTTGAATGACAAAGCTATAAATGAGAACTAAGCTCTTTCCTTCCTTCTTACTTTCCTTCCTTCCTTTAGTACATTTCTTGTGTGCCAACTCTGAGTCATCTCTTAAGTGAAGCTGGGCTATACCTACCCCTATTTAAGGTTATTAAATGTGATATTAGGGACACAACCATTCCTTCTTGCAAATTCCCTAGGGGCCAAAGTTGGCAGCAGATTGCTGGTCTGGCTGAGTCTTGCAGCACATCCCACTGGAACAACAACCCAGAGCTCATGCCCTTGGATGGAGAGCATATTAACAGCATTCTCTTTGTGTAGGAAGGCCTCCAAGTTTTGTAAAGGCCCACTATATTTAGTGTAATAAAGTGAAATGTCCTCGACCAGTAGATTTCTATCAACGGGCCAGTCTTCAAAGGCCAACTGGTCAGGGAGGCAGGCTGGAAACCATAACCTAGCCCCCTCTCCAGTGGCTCTTTTCAGACATCAAGCCCTCTTGGACACTTGTAAATCAAGAGCCACATAAAACTGGACCCTTTCCTTCCTCAGCTGACCTTAGTTCTCGAGCCTGGACACACGTCTCAATCTTTCTACAACCTCCAGGTTTCGGACCTCGGAATTCATTCTCCCAGACGTAGCCTTGCCTCTCCCTCAGGGCAGAGTTTGGGGTCAGCAAAGGAACTAGTCAGGGAACTAGCCCTCCTCTTCAGCACATTATCTCAAAGTACAGTCTTTTCAAATGGAGAAATATGCAGAGAAGGTAGACAAAGACTGTGACTTTTAATACGATTACTCCTCCAGTTTCAGAACCCGTCTTGTTTCTTGTTCGTCTTTTGTACCTGACCATAGGCACCATTTCTCTGACTTTAACTTCTTTTGTTTTGCTCCTGAATCAGGACTCAGGCTCCCTCACACAGGGACAAATCAGAGAAGGCAGAAAGAAGTAAGGTAAACTGAACCACAGAACCCTGGAATACTCTGAAACTGGAGGCATCAGAAGCCCCTGAAGATGGGAATGTGGGGTAGAAAGAAAAGATTGCTTACAAGCCTTTACAATGACCAGTAAAATGCCAGATCTTCTTCCCAACAGCACAGCAAAGTGACTACCCTTCCACCACCCTAGAAGAGACCAAGCAGTTTATTCTTTTGAGAGGCTGGGTCAAAGGCTCCAGGCACAGTGGAAGACAAGGGAATTAAATGAAAGTCTCTACAAGGAATGATGAACTCCCCTCACCCCACCCTCCAGCCCCTTTCCCCTGATAAGCTCCCAGAAGGCTAGAAGACAAGTTTATAAATTCCCATGCAAAAACTTTCTCTGACTGACCGGTCTAAGAGAAAAGATCTTTGCATAATGACATTTGGAGGTCCCTCCCCTGCAAATAAGAAATGTGATCAACTGTGAAGCCCAACAGCAGCAAATGAGAAATGTGATCAACTGTGAAGCCCAACAGCCAACAAGTTCTGCCCATTCACAGGGGGCATTTAAGTGTCTCCCTCTTTAATATGAATAGACAGCCATTCATGAGAAGTCAATAATGTGAAATACAAACAAAAAGAGTTCAGAGGGAGAAGACAATGTAGGAAATAAAATTTCAAACACTAAAATTTAAATGTCGTTAGATGAGAGAAAATACCGCATCCATGAGTATTTAAACAGTAAGGACAAGATGCCGTTTGAAAACAAAGCAAAACAAAACCAGGAATGGAGGGAAGGGGCAGTCAGAGCTTTAAAAATAACAATATGGAAAAAATAACAATATGATAGCAGAAATTTAAAAATTCAATAGAAGAGTTAGAAGACAAAGTTAAGAAAATTTCCCAGAGGGACTCCCGGGTGGCTCATTTGGTTAAGTGTCTGCCTTCAGCTCAGGTCATGAGGTCCTGGGATCAAGTCTGACATCGGGCTCCCTGCCCAGCAGGGAGCCACTTCTCCCTCTGCCTGCCGCTCCCTCTGCCTGCCGCTCCCCCCGCCCATTTGTGCTCTCTTTCTCTGCCAAATAAATAAATAAAATCTATTTTAAAAAATTAAAAAAGAAAATCTCCCAGAAAAAAAATAAAGATATGAAGAACATTACATCAGTTCAAGTGATCCAAAAACTCAATCAAGAGTTATAGAAAGTGAAAAGAGAAAATGGAGAGGAGGGGAGGGGAGGGGATGACAAATAAGAACATACATTAAAAAAAATATACGCGAAAATTTCTCAAAACTGAAGGAAATGTGTTTTCAGCTTGAAAGAGCCCATTTGTGTTGAGTTCATTCCACACAGTGTATGAAAAGAGACCCTGTTCCAAGGTGCATCGATGTGAATTTCAGAACATTAGGGACAAAGGGAAGATCTCAAAACCTTCCTGAAAGGAGGAAAAAAAAACATGGAAGGTGTTAGCATCTCAATAGCAAGGTAGAAAGCTAGACAACAAAAAAGCAATGCCTTTAAAATTCCGAGTGAAAATCATTTCCAACCTGTAATCCTATACCCAGACTCTCATTCAAGAGTACTGCTAAAACAAAGGCATTTTCAAACATGTGAGGTCTCAAAAATATTTACCTTTCATGAACTTTTTCTCAGGAAGCTATTGCAGGATGAGTTCCACCAAACCAAGTGCATAAAACCAAAAGGAAAATATGAGATCCGGCAAACAAGGGACCCAACAAAAGAGAGATGCAGAAGAAATTCCTAAAATGATGTAAAGGGAAAATCTTAGTGATGAGGGAGCAGAAGCCTGCCTGAAGACCAAGCATAAGCGGACACCCTGCAACCTCTCCCCACCCCCCACTCCTGGGTGGGACATGTGTGACATTCTTCCAGGAATCTCCCAACTATCTTAATGTTAATGCATTGCCAGAAGGGGGAAAAACAAGCATAACTTGACAATGGCAAGGCCTCATGTATCTTGTAGGTCCTACTTAGCATATGAAAGTTCTTTTGAAACTTCCCTTTTTCCTTACCTCCCCCAACCCCATAGTATATAATTAGCCACCCCTCACAACCCCAGGGCAACAGCTCTTTCTGCCCACGGGTCCTGCCCCACCCTTAATAAACCACTATTTTGCACCAAAGACTCCTCAAGAATTCTTTCTTGGTCTCCAGACTCCACCCCACTGAACCTCACCTATATTCCAAAATCCCATCATCAGGATGACAGCTGGACAGCTGGCCTAGAGAGCAATAGGTTTAGACTTAAGCTGGATGATGGAAAGTTCCAGAAGAGAAGTCGGTGAGGGAAAAAAAAAACCACACAAAACTGATGAAGTGAGAGGTTTATAATTGTTAGAAGGCTTCGGCAGAAATTAATGATTGCTGTATGAAACTGAGGTTTAAAAAAGACAATTAGTAACCTAAGGGAAAACAAAATTGTTATATAAGATACAAAGTGAACAGCTCACCTGTGAACGGTATTTCCATAGCCGTAATAATGCAAACACTGCAAATGAGTTTAACCAAAACTGCGATATAATCATAATGGGAGGATGGTTGTAGGTGAAGGGTGTGTGTTGTAAGGGTTGATATAAGAAAAGAGAATCCTACCCTCTGCAATAGGAAATCAGGAGGTAAGACCTAAACCGAAAGAAAAGTCAAGGAAAAAAAAAAGAAATAAGCACCACAAGAAATGGCTAAAAGGTATGAGTATAGCTGGCTCTGTAGAGGAGAAATCACAGGTGGGGAGGAGTGGGCAAAGGAACTGCCATTTTGTTTTGCTGCATTTAATTTTTATACTATGTGCTTCTATGTTTTGATTTTTAAAAAAGATTGAAGAAAAAAGTGAGTGAGGAAATAAGGAAGAAGAGAAAATTAGAGTAGAAAAAAACAAGATGAAGTCAGAAGTAATATTAGATCTAGTCCACATCATTGCTAAAGATAGGCTGAAAATTTGGTTCTGAGCTTTTTAGCAGACAGCACAAAGTGGGAAATGTAATCATTTATACAGATTCACCATGTCCAAGAGATAAAAACAAACCACTTACTCAGGAGAAATACATCTATTCCTGGTACTGAGATCCGAGAGACATTTTTCCCATCTGTCCTCCTAAAGAGGACATCATGTGACATCGTGAACCACAACCTCATCAACTTGCCTCCAGGAACTGCAACAATAAGTTTCACTGAGCTGTTTCTTATGATGTCTCTTGACGTAGGTCGATGACAAAATGCCAGTGCAGACTGCAGTAAAAGCAATTCTGTGAAGAGATAAAAATCTGTTTACTTCAGAGACGTAGTGAAACATGGTGGCTAGGGGGTGGGCCTGAGTTCCAAATTTGTCTCTTAAGAAAGTTACTTAACCACTTTGCACTGTTTTCTCACCTATAAAATACACCTAAATATTATCATTTTGTAGGATTCTGTGAGAATTAAATAAATTTATGCTTATGAAGTACTTAAAGCAATGCCTGGCATATATAAGCATTCAAAGAAAAAGATAGCTATTATTCAGAGAAACTTTTTTGAAATCGGATCGCATGTGATAAGACTATGCTAAACAAAACACCAAGATATTGGTGAAGGGATAAATACGTTGATTAATGGAATAGTATAGGGAAATAGGTCCACACACGATAGCCAACTGATTTTTTTTTTTAAGATTTTATTTATTTATTTCAGACAGAGAGAGAGACAGAGCACAAGCAGGGGAAGCAGAGGGAGACAGAGAAGCAGGCTCCCCTCAGAGCAGGGAGCCCGATGTGGGACTCGATCCCAGGACTCTAGGATCATGACCCGAGTGGAGGGCAGACACTTAACAGACTGCGCCACCCAGGTGCCCCATAACCAACTGATTTTTGACAAAAGTACAAAATATTTAATGGAGGAAAGATAGTCTTTTCAACAAATGGTGCTAGAGCAATTTTGGATGTCCATAGTCAAAGAAATGAACTTTAATGTAAACTTCACACCTTATACAAAAATTAACTCAAAATGGATCATAGATTTAAATGTAATATGTCAAACTATAAACCTTTTAGATAAAAACAAAGGAGAAAATCTGCAGAACCTAAGGCTAGGTGAAGATTTCTTAGATATGATACTCAAAGCATACTCAGTAAGAGAAAATGTGACAAACTGGACTTCATCAAACTTAAAAATGTTTGTTCTGCTCTATTAAGAGCAAACCTGTTGGGGCACCTGGGTGGCACAGTTGCTTAGGTGACCAACTCTTGGTTTCAGCTCAGGGCTGTGAGATCAAGCCCCGCGTTGGGCCCTGTGGTCAGTGCAGAGTCTGTTTGGAGTTTCTTTCTCCTGCTTTGTCTCCCCCCGCCCCCCACCATGTGCAGGTAGCTCTCTCTCTCTCTCTCTCTCTCTCAAATAAATAAATCTTAAAAAAAAAAAAAAAAGCAAACGTCAAAAAGACCCTGTTGAAAGGATGAAAAGACAAAACACAGATTGGGAGAAAGTAGTTACAAACCAAAATGTATTAATAGCAGAAAGTACTGCAAACCAAACATCTGTAAACGACCATAAGGAACTCTCAAAAACGAACAGTAAGAAAACAATCCAATTAGAAATGGGCAAAAGGAAGAGCTGAGTGGCTCAGTCAGTTACGTGTTTGCCTTTGGCTCAGGTCATGATCCCGGAGTCCTGGGATTGAAGCCCGCATCGGGCTCCTTGATCATCGGGGAGCCTGCTTCTCCCTCTGCCTGCCGCTCCCCCTGCTTCTGCTCTCTCTCTCTCTGACAAATAAATAGAATCTTTAAGTAAAAAAAAAAAAAAAAAAAAATGGGCAAAAGAAATAAAAAGACATTTCTGGAAAGATGTATACAGTGGCAAATAAAAATATATTCAACATCATTAGCCATTAGTGAAATGCGAGTAAAACTATGATGAGATTTCACTACACACCTATGAGAATGGCTAAAATAAAATATAGCGACAAAACCAAGTGCTGAGAGAAACTCGCTCTATCACAAATTGCTGGTTGTAATGTAAAACAGTTTTACTACTCTGCAACATAATTTGGCAATTTCTTAAAATAACTGAACATACACTTATCACATGACCCAGCAATCAACACTCCTGGGCACACACAGGTGCATACACACACACACACACACACACACACACACACACACACACAAGTGCATATAAAACTGTCAAATCTGAATCTGAATAAAGTCTATTGATTGTACCAAGGTTAATTTCCTGGATTTGATTTTTATATTATTGTCATAACCACTGGGGGAAACTGGGTGCAGAGTACACCAGACCTCCCTGTTTTGTGTTTGCAATTTCCTGTGAATCTATAATTACTTCGAACTAAAGTTAAAAAGGAAGAACAGGGCGCCTGGGTGGCTCAGTTGGTTAAGCGACTGCCTTCGGCTCAGGTCATGATCCTGGAGTCCCGGGATCGAGTCCCGCATCGGGCTCCCCGCTCAGTGGGGAGTCTGCTTCTCCCTCTGACCCTCTTCCCTCTCGTGCTCTCTATCTCTCATTCTCTCTCTCTCTCAAATAAATAAATAAAAAATAAATAAAAAGGAAGAACAAATGCTATGAAAAATGTTATCAATGTGGGGATTAAAGTTATCTTTAATTAGCAAGCTCTTTATAGATTGTATAAAAATGATCATTTAAATATTTGAAGGATTGGTAGAAATTGTAAAAATTCCTCTAGGAATAGCGTTTCTTTCAAAATACAGTGAAGGGAAAGAGGCACGCGGATGCAGGGTGGTTTTGTAGGTGCTCACTGTTTCAGGAAGGCAAGTAGCATATTTCCAAGAGTACTTACAAAGTGGCACTTCTTACCATAGCCCCGTCTCTGGCCCGCAGCTTTTCAGCCCCAAAACCTGATTTTCTTGCAGATTGAGCATGGATTCTGCATTAGCTGAGCTCACAAGACTGATGTGCCATGAATGACAATCTCAGCCACACTCAGATGTGCCAGAAAAGCCAAATTTCTCTATTCTTTAAATCAATTTACTCTGGGGCACCTGGGTGGCTCAGTTGTTAAGGGTCTGCCTCTGGCTCAAGTCCTGATCCCGGGGTCCTGGGATCAAGCCCCACAGCGTCAGGCTCCCCGCTCAGTGCTGAGCCTGCTTCTCCCTCTGCCTGCTGCTCCCCCTGCTCATGCTCTCTCTCTCTCTCTCTCTGACAAATAAATAAAATCTTAAAAAAGAAAAATCAATTTACTTTAAACTCCAAACCCCCATCTTATAAGCTGGAGGAAATTCAACCTAAGTCATTCTTTGCAAAAGCAAAGAATCGTTGGTCTGGTATCTGCACAGACACCCACTCTTATAGTCTGAAGGGTACTCCCCAAAATCGTGACTGTGGCTTTTGTGATACTTGGGACTCAGTAGTCTTCACGGCCTGGAAGGCAGCCTCCCTGCGAACTCCATGCAGCCTTTTCCCCCTGAGGTGTTGCACCTTCTCAGGCTCTGAAATCTCCTCCTCCCCTGCCTCAGGTTAACTCCTAGAGAAGCCTCTTACTTCTCTAATATTCTTTCTCTCCCAGGCCTCCAGGACACCCAGCATCACCTGATCAATCAGGTTAGCTTTTCCAGACAGTGGGAAAAAAACACTAACTTGAAGCAGCTTTTATTTTGGGTCCTGCCAAAATACCCATGGTAATTACAAAGTCTCACTATCTTCTGAAATGTGGGGGAAAATATAGGGAGAATAAAATAAAATTAATATTTTAACAAATCATTCTGCCAAAACTACATTGAACCAGAAAAGCCATTTAATTAATTTGCAATTGGCAATGAATATCACAGCAACAGGTCACATTCACATGCTAGCCCATTCTGATCTTTTTTTTAAAGATTTTATTTATTTATTTTGAGAGAGAGTGAGCGAAAGAGAGCACGAGAGTGGGGCGGGGCACAGAGGAAGAGGTAGAAGCAGACTCCCCGCTGAGCAGGGAGCCTGGCATGGGGCTGAATCCAAGGGCTCCAGGCATGGGGCTGAATCCCAGCGCCCCAGGGTCATGACCTGAGCGAGACAGATGCTTAACTGACTTAACTATCCAGGCGCCCCATTCTGCTCTCTTTAACATAGATACTCAAGATTCTAATTATCCTGTTGCTTGACAAGCCTAGAATCAGAACCAGGGAAATTAGAACAATTAACATTTAAAGGGGTCAGGCAGAATGAATGAATAAATAAGTGGGTCAGACTGTTGTAGTCTGATGTATCAATCCCGTGGTAGGGATACTCACATCATGCTAAGGGATTTGGAAAAACTGGAAGTTCATTGGCTATAGTCCCCTGGGTCCATGTTCACTTTGAGAATGTCCTTGCCAATGGAGTTGCAATATTCAGAGGCATTTGGCTAGGACTCTCTCTCCCAGGAGAGCACTTGGATGAACACCACCACCATTTGTCCTAGAGACTGTCCTTTTTCTGTGCTTCCAAAACAGACCACCTCTTTCATCAAATAACAGGCCAGTCCTGCTGGCCTAGGATTCATGTCTCCTTGAGATGATTTTGCATAGATCTGTTCCAATCAGTTGCACAGGGCCTTTAGATTGAACTCTCAAAGAGCCATATAATTTCTTTGTTCTTGGGTTACTCTTTCTGTACCTGCCACATCCTGATAATGGTATATACAAAACTAATTATATTACATCTTCAGTGTGGGATTCTACACACAGAAGCATCCACAAGAATTATCTTAAAAATTTTTTTAAGTAATTGTACTTTTAAAAAATTACATCATTGTAACCATTGAAGAATAATTGTTAGTATGCATGATGATGGGTGAAATCTGCTAGATACAAATTGATCCAAGAATAATATCACTGAAATCAGATTTTTAAGTGTGGAGTACATACGGTTAAGTATTTCACTGTACATGTTCCTAGGTATTTATGTTTTAGTGGGTAACAATATCTCTTTTGGATTATTGTATGTGTGCTGTTTTGAGATATTCAAACCTCAGATATATTAATAATCTAGTATAGGACAAGCAAGTCCATGACATTTCTTCCCACTCTTTGTAAAGAAATAGCGGATATTCTTTTTTTTTTTTAAAGAATTTTTAAGTTTTATTTATTTGACAGAGACAGTGAGAGAGGGAACACAAGCAGGGGGAGCTGGAGAGGGAGAAGCAGGCCCCCTGCTGAGCAGGGAGCCCAATGCAGGGCTCGACCCCAGGACCCTGGGATCATGACCTGAGCCGAAGGTAGACGCCCAACGACTGAGACACCCAGGTGCCCCGATACTGGATGTTCTTTTTTTTTT